TCCATCCGAATCCATCCATCCGAATCCATCCATCCGAATCCATCCATTGTTGTATCATACCGTCAGCAACTTATCTTGTCATCCACAGTGTCCCGAGGCGCACTTGATATTAACCCCGAAAGACATGCTTCATCATCGACTAGTGACTAGTCAAACATGCTCAGCTTACGGTATCTCCAGAAACCTCGATCTGGCCCGCTCCAAAGCTCATGCGTTCGACCTAGCTTACGCTTACAGGCCAAACCTCACATCAGAATAAGCCTGCCACCCTGGCGGGTGGGATTTCTGTGTGTGTGTGACTTCGCGTGATATGTAAGAAACCGATTGAAAGTTCGCTGCAGGCTGGCCTCACGGATCTCCCAGTTGGTTGCTGTTGGCAAAATGCCTGCAAAGCTGCCAAGAATGTCTCGAAAGGCTGGGTTTGCCAATAACTAGATTGAAGCAGTGAAGGATCCCAACTTGCAGAATCTTAAGATGTGTCCACACACACACAACTCAAGTTGAATGCAACTTGCGCAAGTCTTGCATGATCTGCGCCTAGTATTGAATGTGTGGACATTGCTGCGCCAATGGTCTAGGCGTTGCTGTCTCAGGAGCGAACATGCGCTCCTGAGAAGCTTGAGAGTGAGTGCCCGTGTTTAACCCCATAGAAGGAGCGCATGCATCACAGTGGCATTGCAGCCCATTGCAGTCTCTGGCAAACCTTTGTGTCTTCTTCTTGACATCCATGTCTTTGCAAACCCAAGTTTCGCCAGGAACAAGTCTTCTTCATGCGGGCGCCTGGATCCATTTCTTCTCGATTGGCAACAACCAAGCACCAAGCTGCAAAGGCTCTGGCCACCCGCCCGGAAGAGGAGGAGGAATGAGAGGAAGATCGAGAAGGCCCTGAGCAGTGATGGAGTATGAACAAAATACGTCAGGGTTGTTATATAATGCATCAGTATCTCCTGCATGTGTTCCAGGCTCGAACATTCAAATGCCCTCTTTGGACAAAAATTTGGCCAGGCGACCGGATGGACCAGAGTGAGTTGAGAAGATAAACCTGGTCATTGCAGTACGGATGTCTTGCTCAGGAAAAAGGGGTGGTGCAAGACATGCATCCCTTCCTACATTAAGCATTCGGCTGGAAGACAATGGGGAGAACCATTTTGACCTGGACATCAGGGTTCAAGCTGGGTGTAACGCAACTCTGTTGGAGCGCAGCCTGCTTCAAGAATGTCATGGTCAAATCACCTTCCACTGACAAAGGCAGCCGGAGAGCTGACTTAAGCCACTGATTCACATCACCGTTGCATCTCTAAGCACCAGGCAGGGAGTTCCACCTGCTCAAAGAAAAACATTTGGGCACGAATTCGACGAGCGTTCAAAAGTCAAGCAAGCCCAGCTCGAACCTGAAGGCCAAGCTGCCTCCGAGCGAGGCACAAGTCGGAGAACACGCTGCAAGGTTGAACGCTTTCCAATTGGTGAGAACATAGACAAACCATCAACTTGATGCCCACTTCCTCACGCTATTGCCAACAATCGAAACACCTCAGTGACGACCAGACATCATAGCCCCTGCAATATTCAGGGTTGTATGGCTAGAACAAGCTATACGGAAAGGACCTGCTTTCTGTTGCGCGAGTGAACACAGAAATCATGTCATTTTAGGCAGCGTTTTGTTTAGTTCCCTACACTATGGACCTTCAGATGCAGAAGCCAAGCATACATCTCAATCGTAATTACCTTCATGCATGTCGTATCGGCGAAGCACAGAACCCTGGGCCACCGTGTCATGTCGATGTCTGTTTGGTCAATCCGACCTCGTTGGCTGGAAAAAAAGAGCTTTTTATGGCTTTACAGGCAGACGTTCTTGCTTTGGCTGAAACATCAGCGACCGCCTTTGTCCAACACGAAGTCAGACAATCTATGAAATCTACTGGATATTCCTTATTTTTTGGCCAAGCAGTAGATGATAAATTTAAGTCCTCCTCTCTGCGTGACGACCGACCGTCGCGCCGCGGTGATGCCTTGGGCACTGCAATTTTCACACGTGTTTCGTCGAGACCTCATCGCATCCCGGGAACCTCCATCTTACATCAGTCATGTCGTTTCACATCATGTATTTGCTATTTTGGTACAATTGAGGTGTTGGTCGTCTCTGCCTATTTCTTTCCTGGACGTACTCTCGAGGCACAATCTAAGAACGACATACTTTTGACACATATATACGATTTTGTTGCCAAAACACAGATGCCGTTTCTCATTGCTGCTGATTTTAACCAAAATATTCACACCCTAACCGCTTGGACAGCTTTTGCGAACCTTGGATGTGTTGAGGGTTTCAAATATGCAAAGGAATGCCTTAATAAGGAATTACCACCGACCTGCCGACATGCAACACGCTTTGATTCGTTTATTTTCCATCCCGCCTTGCACGAATTAATTACAGATATGTGGGTGGGGCCAGATCATTTGTTGTCTGACCATTCACCAATATATGTGCGATTCCAAATACAAGAGCAACAAAGTTTAGCACCGAAACTGTTCGTCCCTGCAGATTGGTCTGAATTAGATATCGATTTAAAAATCTTCGAACAAAAATATCGTGAGCTTGCGGAACATCGGTCACTTCAGACCGCCCTATCTGATTTGTCCCTGCCTGAAGAAAAGATGCGACTATGGTCCCATGCTATTGAATCTGCATTGGATCGGACGCTTCGACAGATGCATACAGAGAACCCAACTCGATACCCTCTCAAAAGTCTTGCACCCAAGTATAAAGGTCGATGTCAACCGCCAGTTTTCGTTAAACCAACTCCGATCCGATCAGTTCGTCATGACCCAACGCATGCATATAATCCACCGGGAGAACCAACAGCACTCAAAACCTGTCAGAAGGTTCGTCAGGCCCGACGAATTGCCTCCTTGCTCAGGCAACTTCAGCGTCAATTACTCCAATTCGGTTCATGGGATATACTTCCATCTGAAGTCAAGACAAACCTACGCCAAGAATGGAACAAGATAAAGACTGCACAGGGATGGCTCCAGCTGGTCCCACTGGATTTTAAGCTTTGATTGTATCCCCCTTCTATCTCATGATGTCCCAACCTTAGGGGCACTTCATCTAATGTCCCAGCTTACACGTCATGAAGCTGAGCTGGCTACCCGTCAGGAAGAACGTAACAGACGAAATGCACACCGACATCTAATCCAGATGGATCAAAAGGATAAAAATGGGTCCATGACCTTCAAAGCACTCCGAGACCAAGAACAAAAAGTTATCGCAGGACTTCCGTGTCCAGTCAGTGCTCCAGCAAGACTCCTCCGCCTATCTAAAGGTAAAATTCGACTGCTTTTACTCGCTGACCAAAGTTTTCGTTTGGGGGATGCCACTTATGGTGACTTTAGAATCACCATTAAATCACAAGACCAACGGTTTGTGGAAATCCAGACCGATGAAGGTCCCCTTCCAACGAAAGCAAGTTTAGAACAGAAACAATATACTCAAGAGATTCAGAAGCTGTCGGCAGGCTTCTTTGCCTGTTGGGCACCAATGTGGTTACGAGATACACAACATGAGGCTCAATGTGATGAGGTATGGCAAGAGAATTTTCAAGAAATAATGGATAATCTACCACCGCAACCAAGGGTTCCCGTTTCGTGGGATGATCCGACTCTTATCAAAAGCACGATCGCAAAAATGAAACCATATAAAGCCCCGGGCGTGGACGGTTGGCGTGCTCAAGAACTTAAGTTAGTTCCCTGGCTAGCGATCATACACCTGTCACAATTATTTTCGAGAAATTTGGGATAAGGAATTTAGTACTAACCAGATGCTTGCTCGAACTATTCTCTTGGCCAAAACTTCTCAGCCTGCCACTTTCTCTGATGGACGACCGATTACCATCCTAGGATATATTCCCAGACTTACATCCAAGATGGTGGCTGATCAGCTTCTTAATTCCTGGGGTGAAAAGTGGGATTCACAGATTGCCGGTGGACTCCCTTTCCGGGCGGTCAAAGACATTACTGTTCAGCAACAATATTTAATAGAACAGGCCCATGCAACCAACTGTCACTACGGGGGTTTTACACTCGACCTGGTGAAAGCCTTTAATTTAATACCTCGACAGTTAGCAAAACATCTCCTAGTCGCATGGGGTGCTCCAGAACAGGCTATAAATTTTTGGATTCGGTCGCTTAACAACATGTCCAGGATGTTGCAGGTCCGGAACCAAGTCAGCGACCCAGTCCATTCGACCACAGGAGCACCAGAAGGTGATGCTATGTCTGTGTGTGCTATGCTGGTTATTGCTGCTACCTATTTCCGCCGTATGACGAAGATTCCTGTCACTCCTTTCACCTACGCAGACAACTGGACATTCATGTCCACCAATCAGCGGCATCTATTCCGTGCGTTCGTTGACACACTTAATTTTGCCCAAACCATGCGGATGAAAATTGACCTGAATAAGTCCTGGGGCTGGGGGACTAATTCTGCCATGCGACAATTTTGGAAAACTACCGAGGTCCTGTTCCCGAGAGGAGATGTTACCATTGATGTAAAGCTAGCATCACGCGACCTTGGGTGTATGATGCAGTATAGTAAGAAAATTGTCCTAGGATGTTTGAAAACGAGGATTCAAGCGGCTAAGAGAAGATTATACCGCTTACAAAAATTAGACCTCACCATCGCAGATAAAGCAGAGAAGATTCAATCCGCTATTTGGCCTTTAGCCTTTTACGGGGCAGAGAGCCAGATAATTGGAGACTCGCATTTTGTGATTTTGCGACGACTCGCTACCGATGCCTTGGTAGGTAAGCACAAATATGCCTCCTCCCATGTTGCCCTGCAGTATTTGTCAAATAAAGTTATGGACCCTTTGCTTTATGTTATTGTGACAGGTCTATGCACGATCAGAAGGTTGTTCTATTACCATGGCGCCCTAGCCCAAAACATGTGGTCTGATGTTATTGCTGGTATGGCTAGTCAAGGACCTTGTGGAGCCCTAGCTGGGTACCTATCCAAAGTCTGTTGGAATCCACATCCAGATGGTTGTATCGACATGCCAAGTGGTCATCGCGTATGCCTCAAAACACAGTCAACAAAAGAGATTCGTCACATCTGTCGCCACGCTTGGTCAACATATGTATTCTCACAGATTAGCCACCGCAAGGGAGTCACCTCATATCCTTTTGATGCCTATACTCAAATGAAAGTCAACAACCAGTTTTCAGATCGTGAATTGAAACTACTGTGTTTGAACATTACTGGAGGCTTCCAAACGTCAGCAGTAAAAGCACTATGGGACAATACACAATCTGATAAGTGTGAATTTTGTGGGGAAATCGACAATCATGCACATCGAATGCTCCATTGCCCAGATTTCGCCTACATACGATCTAACCACCCGCAAGCAATCCAACTCCTGGAAAAATATCCACATTTGATGTGGTTTCCCCTTGCCACGGTGCATCCCAAAGAATGTGCGTACCACCGACTAAAACTTATGCGAGCAGGTCCTTTTCTTGATCCGGATCATAGTTTTGATGCAGCAAGGCAAATCATTTACACAGACGGAACATGTGACAGACCTCGTTCTCAAAATTGCTGCCGTGCGGCATGGGCCGCCATTCGTCAAATCCGCTATAATCCACAGGACCCGAGTATCCAAGACTTTGAAATTCTTCAAACTTCGCATGTACAAGGTACACAGTCGATTAATCGTGGGGAGCTAGGTGCTGCAGCATGGGTTTCGGAATTTTTTGCCCAACAAATTCCTCGCCCATTTGTCGACTTATATACAGATTCGCAGTTTGTAGTCCATGTCATCGAAAACATTGTCGCAAATACTTTTGATCATAAAACCCACCGCATGGCTCATTGTGACCTTATTCAGAAGATTCGGGCAACGTGGGACCCGTATCATTTTCGCATCCTCAAAACGAAGTCCCACCGCCCACTGCAAATTGCCTCAGATGTAGATGACCTGTATCAAATTTTGGGTAACACACTGGCTGATGAGGTAGCCAAAATTACTAACCGCCAAGATCTGACAATAATGAAAACCATTGCAGATGATATTGATCAACATTGCCAGCTACAACAAGAAGCACTATCTCATGTTTTCCGTTGTCTTATTGATTTGAATACAGTCCACTCCAAAATACACCGTGAAAAGGAAAAGTCTGCCGACGGGGAGGCAGTTGCCGGAACCATTGATGATATCATATACTACAAAGACAAACTAATCAATTGGACAGTGTCCGGGCCTTTGTGGTCTATGACAGGTGATTTGTTACCTGTCGTCGCACACGCGTGTCCCGCAGGCTCAATTTATGCGATCGCAGTTTGGAAATTCTTTAATCAAATGAAATGGAGGCACCCCGACTTACCGCTGGACAAAACAGATTTTGGAATCACCTGGTGTGAACTAGCCTTGCAATTTACCATTTTTGCAGGCAAGTGCCTTCCAGTTTGGATAAACGATCACGACAAAGGATATGCAACTCCTTTTGCCTTTCATTCCGATCAGGTCGCTTTACAGAAACCGGATTTTCGTGGCCTCGGCCATCAAACATCAGCATTTCGTGCTATTGTTCGATATCTCGAAAATACGAGCGGACATAGGCTTTTTCCGCGTTATAAGAAAACAGGGGCTAGTTCACTGATTCGACTTGGTTTTCACCGAAGTTTGATTGGTGGTATTGCCGCCCGTCTGATGCTGCCCCAGAATGCTTTGTCTTATGCTGTGTTGGACACATACATGTCTACACCAGGCCAAAGTTATCCACTAAATGTGCGTGTGCCTTTCCAACCACAGCTTGACCATGCAATGATTCAGCACTCTGAATCTGAGCAACTCACTTTCGAAAAGCGACACAACTTATACCAGAGGGTAAAGAAATGCATTCGATTGAAACAAAACCTTGCTGACCTTGCGTGGACCACATAAATTAGATGCCTGTTGTTCGACCTAATTCATGTGCGGTCGTGACCTTTTGTATAGAAGTCCTTATCGCACTTTGTTGCGCATGTTTTTGTACACAGTTTTCATTGCTGTGCATACCAACCCTAGAGTACCCCACGAAGTGGAAGGGCTGTTAGGGGCGTG